CATGTATATATTGTTGTAGGTGCACTAACGTTGTCTTCCAACGTCGTTGCATGAAGCCTTGCTTACCTCAAAGGGCAGAGGCACGCCTTCTTTCACCTGGCACGTGAAGAAGACCATCTGATTCGTGCAGTATATGGTCAACCTGGGCAATAAATTAAGCGATTACATTACACCGAACGTATCACGCTTTTTCCTATACACTACACCGCCTCTCTGCTACACATACACATNGCGCGCACACGCACGCCGCACCGCACACACACACACACACACACACATACCTAACATGTCATCAACAGTTTCCAGTTCATTGCGGCCGTCGAGTAGGTTAACATCCGTGCTGACCTTGTGCAGCTCTCTCTCTGTAGCGGGGTCGCACACGCTCTCTCGCTCCATCCTCAACTCACCCCCCTCGCCCTCGTCGTCATCCGGAAATCTTAAATCGACCGTCACCACGCTCTCCGTCGCCGACGTCGCCCGCATCGCGAGCTGTCTTTGCGACATAGGTGTCGCTACCGTCGTCGTGACGTCATTTTCGGCGGCGGGGTCACGTGATGCGGCTCGTCTGCTGCGCGCGGCGTCGATCAGTATTTGGCAGAAGACAAGTACGACGGGATGCGTGTGCGCATGTTCCGTCTCGATCATGCCCAGGTAGCTCATGTGACCTGCGCGCGGGAAATATACGCCGTAGAAAGCACGAGAGATAGATGAGTGAGTGAGTGAGTGAGTGAGTGAGTGAGTAAGCGAGCCAGTGAATGAATGAGCGTGTGAGTGAGTGAGTGAGNTGCAGCTCTCTCTCTGTAGTGGGGTCGCACACGCTCTCTCGCTCCATCCTCAACTCACCCCCCTCGCCGTCGTCGTCATCCGGAAATCTTAAATCGACCGTCACCACGCTCTCCGTCGCCGACGTCGCCCGCATCGCGAGCTGTCTTTGCGACATAGGTGTCGCTACCGTCGTCGTGACGTCATTCTCGGCGGCGGGGTCACGTGATGCGGCTCGTCTGCTGCGCGCGGCGTCGATCAGTATTTGGCAGAAGACAAGTACGACGGGATGCGTGTGCGCATGTTCCGTCTCGATCATGCCCAGGTAGCTCATGTGACCTGCGCGCGGGAAATATACGCCGTAGAAAGCACGAGAGATAGATGAGTGAGTGAGTGAGTGACCAGCGAAGACTAGATGACGTGATGAGAGTGAGTGAGTTGAAGTGAGGTGCGTGAGTGAATGAGTGGTGATCAGTGATGTGCGTGAAGCTGGAGTGACCGTGAGTGAGTGTGTGAGGTGAGGGTGAGTGAGGTGAGTCGACGTGGTAACTGTGAAGTGAGGCGAATGAATGAGCTGTTAGGTGAGTGACGTGGTGAGTGATGTGAGTGAGTGGTGATGAGCTGAGTAAAGCCGAGCCAGGTGAATGAATGAGGTGTGAGTGACGTGAGTGAGTGAGTGAGTAAGTAAGCGAGGCCATGTGAATAACGTGCGAGTGAGTGAGTGAGTGAGTGAGCGCGCGAGTTATTACCCATGTCTAGGCGTTCGTGTCCGCGTATCATCACCGACCGATCAAGGCGACACATCATGATGCTGCTGAGCCAGAAAGAAGTCATCGTGCGACTGATGACAAACACCCCAGGCGCGACGTGAGACTATGTTACGCTGGGTACTGACGAAGAAGTAGTAGTTCGCGACGTGAAAGACTTCCCTGAAATCATCAAGACAGGTGCGTTACAGGTCCGCGGAACGTCATCGAAGCGTGTATATCCAGTTTGTTTGCTTTGTGCGTGCGTGCGTGTGTGGATGTGTGTGTGTGTGTGCTGTGCTCGTGTGTGTCGCTCGTGTGCGATGTGTGTTTGTGTAGCTGTGGTGCTGTGCGCTTCACATGTGTGTGTGTGTGGCACTGTGCTGTGTCGTTAGTTGGTATGAGGCGCGCCCCTGTGCGTGTCTGGCCTGGCTGTGTGTGTGTGTGTGGTGGGTAATATGTGCGTGTGGTGTGCGTGTGCGTGTGCGTTGTGCGTCTGTGCGGTGAGCGTTGTCTGTGCTGTGTGTGTGTGTGTGTGTTGGGTGGGTGTGTGTGTTTGAAACCGCCTCGGCTCACGTTCGATTCTAGTCGCTTGAAATTAGAGCAAATGGCAATGCACCCCCCTTCCCAGTTTACACACATCTATACGAGTAAGTAATCATTTATTAGGATGTTCTTGCATGCTCCTATTTGAAATTCAAGGGAATGCAAATCTTATTTCGATAGTTTATAATTCAGCGCTTATCTTCTCTTACGCGTTGCGGAGTGCGAGGGGCAATGGCTGTCCTTCACTCCCCGGTGGTTGCAAAAAGAATTTCCTTGCTAATACGTATTCCAGGTAGAAGATGAATGTCAATATAGCTATCGGTATCCTGCATAGAGAAACGCATGCCAGGCCGCGGTTAAAATCTTTCCCACATGAACATGAATTGCACTGTACCACATAGAGATTTACTAGCAATTTGTAAGAACGTGTCTTGTTTTAGATTTAAGACTAGAACCTTAGCGCTCCACTAGGAGGAAAGTTGATATCTACAGCATAAATGTCTACCTAAGTAAAGAAGTGTGCTATTTTATGTTAGGCCCTTGTAATTTCAAATTAAGCTGATATGTTGTTAGTATTGTAGAGTGACACGCATGCGCACGTTCTTCTGCATTTTGATAGTAGGTCCTAATCTTTTGAAGCACTGATGATTTATTTGCTAACCTACCTCAAACTTGTCACCTTTATTAATTATTCATAAAATACTTTTCAATTAAGCCAAAACTCTGTTAAACTTACAACATGGCCATATGTGGGCTCATGTTTTATCGATAAAATGCTTTTTTAATTCAGCGAAATTGTTTTAGATATACAGCGATGTAATGCTTACACAGCAGCCTCAAGAAATTCGGTGATTCTGCCGAAGAAGATGATCTGCTAAATATTATAGGCAGCGGCGTCATCAGGATGGCCAAATGTCACGGCATAACTCTATAGCGGCAACGCACATAAAATACATACATTGTATTTATTTATTTATGTTATTTATACTTAACAATTTACTTGTGCTACGGTAAATATACGCACTGTATCGGTGTCATACTCATTGTCAACATAGTAATGTGCCGTGCATGGTGTGTGTGAGTGTCTGATTGTGTGTGTGTGTGTGTGGCGTGCGATGCGTGCGTGCGTGCGTGCGTGGCGTGCGCGCGGCGGGCTGCGCGACGTGGTGTGTGTGTGTGTGTGTGTGTGTGTGTGTGTGTGTGTGTGTGTGCGCGCGCGCGCGAACACACGTGTATGTTTGTTCGTTGCTAAACTAAAGCAGCTGTAAAGAAAGGGCGAGACAAAGTCACATACACAACCAGAATAAGAGGGAGAGTGAGCGAGCAAGAGAGGAATAGGGGGAGTGGGAGGGGGAAGACAGGCATAGCAAACGAGTGAAAGAGAGAGGGGAAGAGCGGGCGAGAGAGAGAGAGAGAGAGAGAGAGAGAGAGAGAGAGAGAGCAAACGAGCGA